TTGGGGACATTGGGGACATTGGGGACATTGGGGACATTTGGGGACATTTGGGGACATTCCCAATCCCCAATGTCCCCCCAATCCCCCCAATCCCCCCAATCCCCCCAATGTCCCCAATGTCCCCAATGCCCCCAATGTCCCCCCAATGTCCCCAATCCCCCCAATGTCCCCAATGTCCCCAATCCCCCCAATGTCCCCAATGTCCCCAACCCCCCCAATGTCCCCAATGTCCCCAATGTCCCCAATGTCCCCAATGTCCCCAATGTCCCCCCAATGTCCCCCCAATGTCCCCAATCCCCCCAATGTCCCCAATCCCCCCAATGTCCCCAATGTCCCCAATGTCCCCAATGTCCCCAATGTCCCCCCAATGTCCCCAATGTCCCCAATGTCCCCAATGTCCCCCATGTCCCCAATGTCCCCAATGTCCCCCTGATGTCCCCAATGTCCCCCTGATGTCCCCAATGTCCCCAATGCCCCCAATGTCCCCAATGTCCCCAATCCCCCCAATGTCCCCAATGTCCCCAATGTCCCCAATGTCCCCAATGTCCCCAGGCTGGCCCAGGCTGCTGCTGGAGGTGTGGCACGTGGACACGTGGGGCCGCCGTGGCCTGGCGGGGTACGGCGTGTGCGCGGTGCCGAGCGCGCCGGGGTGTCACCGCGTCACCGTTGTCACCTGGCGGCCGCGGGGGACGCGGCGCCAGCGGCTGTTGGGCCCCGGTGGCCCCGAACTGCGCGACCCCTTGGGGACGGCCACCGCGGCCACCGAGCGGTTCCGGCTGCGCACCGAGAGCGCCGGCACGGTGCGGCTGCGGCTCGGCGTGGTGGCACGGCACATGGCGCGCTACGGGGTGGCACTGTGACATTATTGGGGACATTGGGGACAATGGGGACATTGGGGACATTGGGGACATTGGGGACATTGGGGACATTGGGGACATTGGGGGGGATTGGGGACATTGGGGACATTGGGGACATTGGGGACATTGGGGACATTGGGGACATTGGGGACATTGGGGGACATTGGGGGACATTGGGGGACATTGGGGACATTGGGGACATTGGGGGGATTGGGGACATTGGGGACATTGGGGACATTGGGGGGATTGGGGACATTGGGGACATTGGGGACATTGGGGACATTGGGGACATTGGGGACATTGGGGGGATTGGGGACATTGGGGACATTGGGGGAACATCAGGGACATCATTGGGGTATGGGGACATTGGGGTGGCACTGTGACATTGGGGACATTGGGGACATTGGGGACATTGGGGACATTGGGGTGGCACAGTGACACTGGGACATTGGGGACACCATTGGGGACAGTGTGACACCATTGGGGACATTGGGGACACTGGGGTGGCACAGTGACATTGGGGACACCATTGGGGACACTGGGGTGGCACTGGGGACATCAAGGTGACACTGGGGACACCATTGGGGACATTGGGGTGGCACTGGGGACACCATTGGGGTGACACGGTGACACTGGGGACAGGGTGACCCGGGATGACACTCTGGGGTCACCCTGGGGACATCGGGGTCACCTTTGGGGTGGCACTTGGGGACACCAGGACAGGAGGTGACACGTGGGGGGGGTCCCCGAGCTTTGGGGGGAGGGGACAACCCCGGTGGCACCTCCCCAAAAATTGTCACCTCTCCCCAAAAATTGTCAAATCTGACCCCAAAAATTGTCACCTCCGACCCCAAAAATTGTCACCTCCCCCCCAAAAATTGTCACCTCCCCCCAAAAATTGTCACCTTCGACCCCAAAAATTGTCACCTCTGACCCAAAATTGTCAAATCTGACCCCAAAAATTGTCACCTCCGACCCCAAAAATTGTCACCTCCCCCCCAAAAATTGTCACCTCCCCCCAAAAATTGTCACCTTCGACCCCAAAAATTGTCACCTCTGACCCAAAATTGTCACTTCTGACCCAAAATTGTCAACTCCGACCCCAAAATTGTCACTTCTGACCCCAAAATTGTCACTTCTGACCCAAAAATTGTCACCTCCCCCCAAAAATTGTCCCCAAATAAAATTTTTGTCACCAAATGCGGCTCAGGGGACAATTTTTTGGGGTCAGAAGTGACAATTTTGGGGGGGAGGTGACAATTTTTGGGGTCAGAAGTGACAATTTTGGGTCAGAAGTGACAATTTTTGGGGGGAGGTGACAATTTTGGGTCAGAAGTGACAATTTTTGGGTCAGAAGTGACAATTTTTGGGTCAGAAGTGACAATTTTGGGGGGGAGGTGACAATTTTTGGGGCTGGTGACAATTTTGGGTCAGAGGTGACAATTTTGGGGGGAGGTGACAATTTTTGGGGTCAGAAGTGACAATTTTTGGGGGGGAGGTGACAATTTTTGGGTCAGAGGTGACAATTTTGGGTCAGAAGTGACAATTTTTGGGGGGGAGGTGACAATTTTGGGGGGGAGGTGACAATTTTGGGTCAGAAATGACAATTTTGGGTCAGAAATGACAATTTTGGGTCAGAAGTGACAATTTTGGGGGGGAGGTGACAATTTTTGGGTCAGAAATGACAATTTTGGGTCAGAAATGACAATTTTGGGTCAGAAGTGACAATTTTGGGTCAGAAGTGACAATTTTTGGGTCAAAGTGACAATTTTGGGTCAGAAGTGACAATTTTTGGGTCAGAAGTGACAATTTTTGGGGGAGGTGACAATTTTAAGGGGGAGGTGACAATTTTGGGTCAGAAGTGACAATTTTTGGGGGGGAGGTGACAATTTTTGGGTCAGAAGTGACAATTTTGGGTCAGAAGTGACAATTTTTGGGGGGAGGTGACAATTTTGGGTCAGAAGTGACAATTTTTGGGGGGAGGTGACAATTTTGGGGGGGAGGTGACAATTTTGGGGGGGAGGTGACAATTTTTGGGGGGGAGGTGACAATTTTTGGGGGGAGGTGACAATTTTTGGGGGGTGGTGACAATTTTTGGGTCAGAAGTGACAATTTTGGGGGGGAGGTGACAATTTTTGGGTCAGAAGTGACAATTTTGGGTCAGAAGTGACAATTTTGGGTCAGAAGTGACAATTTTTGGGGGGAGGTGACAATTTTTGGGTCAGAAGTGACAATTTTGGGGGGAGGTGACAATTTTGGGGGGGAGGTGACAATTTTTGGGGGGAGGTGACAATTTTTGGGGGGGGTTCCCGAAGCCCCTCCCCCCCCCGGGGGTCCCCTCCCCCCCCCGCCGTGACTCAGTTTCCCCTCCCCTCCCCCACCCCCCTTCCCCTTCCCCTCCCCCCCTCCCGTTTCCTGGGTGGGGCCGCGGCGAAACGGGGCCAAAAACGGCAAAATCGGGCAAAAAAGGGACAAAAAAGGGACAAAAAGGATCAGCCGGGACAAACCGGAACCGGTAGGGGACAACCGGGACAACCCGGGACCACCCGGGACAACCCGGGACCACCAGGACCGGGACAAACCGGGACAAACCGGGACCACCCGGGACAAACCGGGACCGGTAGGGGACAACCGGGACAAACCGGGACCACCCGGGACAAACCGGGACCAGCCGGGACAAACCGGAACCGGTAGGGGACAACTGGGACCACCCGGGACAAACCGGAATCGGTAGGGGACAACCGGGACCACCCGGGACAAACCGGAACCGGTAGGGGACAACCGGGACAACCCGGGATAAACCGGGACCAAACCGGGACCAGCTTCGACAAACGGGGACAACCGGGACAAACCGGGACAAACCGGGACAAACCGGGACAAACCGGGACAAACCGGAACCGGTAGGGGACAACCGGGACCAACCGGGACAACCCGGGACAACCGGGACAAACCGGGACCAGCCGCGACAAACCGGGACCACCCGGGACAAACCGGGACAGGCGGGAGCGGAACCGAGCCCGGGAGGGGAAGTCCGGGCGGGTCCCGTGCGGCGTGTCCCGGGTTAAGTCCCGGTTCCGGGGGGGTTATCCCGGTTTTGAGAAGTTATCCCGGTTTTGAGGAGTTTATCCCGGTTTTGAGGCGTTTATCCCGGTTTTGAGGAGTTTATCCCGGTCCCGGGGGCGTGTCCCGGTTCCAGGGGGGATTTCTCCCGTTCCCGGGGCGGTTATCCCGGTTTTAGGAGGATTTATCCCGGTTTTAGGGGGTTTGTCCCGTTTCTACGGGAGTTTATCCCGGTTTAGGGGATTTATCCCGTTCCTGGGGGGGTTTATCCCGTTCCGGGCAGGTTTAGCCCGTTCCGAGGGGTTTATCCCGGTCCATCCCGAGGGTTTATCCCGGTCCTTCCCGAGGGTTTATCCCGGTCCCTCCCGAGGCTTTATCCCGGTCCATCCCGAGGTTTTATCCCGGTCCCGGTGTCGTTCCTGTTCCCGTTCCCGTCCCCGTCCCCGTTCCGGTTCCCGGTGCCGGTGCCGCTGTCGGTCCCGTTCCCGTTCCCATTCCCGTTCCCGTTCCGGTTTCCATTCCCGTTCCCGCTCCTGCTACGATTCCCGCTCCCAGTCCCGTTCCCGGTGCTGCTGTCGGTCCCGTCCCCGTTCCGGTTCCCGTTCCCGTTCCCGGTGTCGTTCCCGTTCCCATTCCCATTCCCGTTCCGGTTCTCGTTCCCGTTCCCGGTGTCGCTCCCGGTGTCGTTCCCAGTCCCGTTCCCGTTCCGGTTCCCGTTCCCGTCCCCGTCCCGGTTCCCGCTCCCGTTCCCGTTCCCGTCCCGGTTCCGGTTCCCGTCCCGGTTCCCGTTCTCGTCCCGGTTCCCGTCCCTGTTCCTGTTCTCGTCCCGGTTCCCGTCCCTGTTCCCGCTCCGGTTCCCGTTCCCGGTGTCGTTCCCGGTGCTGCTGTCGGTCCCGTTCCCGTTCCGGTTCCCATTCCCGTTCCCGTTCCCGTTCCGGTTCCCGGTCCGGTTCCCGGTCCGGTTCCCGGTGCTGCTGTCGGTCCCGTTCCCGTCCCCGTCCCCGCTCCGGTTCCCGTTCCCGGTGTCCATCCCGGTGCTGCTGTCGGTCCTGTTCCCGTTCCGATTCCCGGTGTCGTTCCCGGTGTCGGTCCCGCTCCCGTTCCGGTTCCCGTTCCCGGTGTCATTCCCGTCCCTGTCCCCGCTCAGGTCCCCGTCCCGGTCCCCGCTCCGGTTCCCGATGCTGCTGTCGGTCCCGCTCCGGTTCCCGCTCCCGCTCCCGATGTCCGTCCCGGTGCCGCTCCCGTTTCGGTCCCGGTTCCCGGTGTCGGTCCCGTTGCTCCTGGCCGCGCTGCTGTCGGTCCCGTCCCCGTGCCGCGCTCTCTCGTCCTGCCGCTCCCTGGACCTGGAGGCGGCGCGGCTGAAGCGCATCGAGGCGGTGCGGGGGCAGATCCTCAGCAAGCTCCGGTTACCGGTCCCGCTCCCGGTGCCATTCCGGTTCCCGTCCCGGTTCCCTGTCCCGTTCCCGTTCCCGCTGTCCGTCCCGGTGCTGCTGTCGGTCCTGTTCCCGCTCCGGTTCCCGTTCCCGTTCCGGTTCTCGTTCCCGTTCCCGGTGTCGCTCCCGGTGTCGTTCCCGTTCCCATTCCCATTCCCGTTCCGGTTCCCGTTCCCGATGTCGCTCCCGGTGTCGGTCCCGTTCCGGTCCCCGTTCCGGTTCCCGTTCCCGATGTCGCTCCCGGTGTCATTCCCGTCCCCGTCCCCATCCCCGTCCCCGTCCCCGTCCCGGCTCCGGTTCCCGTCCCCGTCCCGGTTCCCGTTCCGGTTCTCGCTCCCGGTGTCGTTCCCGTTCCCATTCCCATTCCCGTTCCCGTTCCGGTTCCCGGTGTCCGTCCCGCTGCTGTTGTCGGTCCTGTTTCCGTTCCGGTTCCCGGTGTCGTTCCCGGTGTCGGTCCCGCTCCCGTCCCCGTCCCGGTCCCGGTCCCCGCTCCGGTTCCCGTTCCTGCTGGCCGCGCTGCTGTCGGTCCCGTCCCCGTGCCGCGCTCTCTCGTCCTGCCGCTCCCTGGACCTGGAGGCGGCGCGGCTGAAGCGCATCGAGGCGGTGCGGGGGCAGATCCTCAGCAAGCTCCGGTTACCGGCGCCGCCCCCGGAGCCGGGCCCGGTGCCGGCGGCGCTGCCCGAGGAGGTGCGGGCGCTGTACAACAGCACCCGGGAGCTGCTGCGGCAGCGCGCCCGGCGGCGGCTGCGCGGCGAGGAGCCGCGGGACTACTACGGGCAGGAGCTGCTGCGGTTCCCCATGGAGAGCCCCGGGCACGGTGAGGGACACCGGGACATTGGGGACATTGGGGACATTGGGGACATTGGGGGCATTGGGGGCATTGGGGACATTGGGGGGATTGGGGACATTGGGGACATTGGGGACATTGGGGACATTGGGGACATTGGGGACATTGGGGGGATTGGGGACACCGGGGACATTGGGGACATTGGGGGGATTGGGGACATTGGGGACACTGGGGACATTGGGGACATTGGGGACATTGGGGACACTGGGGGGACATTGGGGACATTGGGGACATTGGGGGGGTTGGGGACATTGGGGACATTGGGGACATTGGGGACATTGGGGACATTGGGGGGGTTGGGGACATTGGGGACATTGGGGGGATTGGGGACATTGGGGACATTGGGGACATTGGGGACATTGGGGACATTGGGGACATTGGGGGATCGGGGACATTGGGGACATGGGGACATTGGGGACATTGGGGACAGTGGGGACATTGGGGGGATTGGGGACATTGGGGACACGGGGACATTGGGGACATTGGGGACATGGGGACATGGGGACAGCAGCCCGAGGAGCCGCGGGACTACTACGGGCAGGAGCTGCTGCGGTTCCCCATGGAGAGCCCCGGGCACGGTGAGGGACATTGGGGACATTGGGGACATTGGGGACATTGGGGACATTGGGGACATTGGGGGGATTGGGGACATTGGGGACATTGGGGGCATTGGGGACATTGGGGGGATTGGGGGACATTGGGGACATTGGGGGGATTGGGGACATTGGGGACATTGGGGGGATTGGGGGCATTGGGGACATTGGGGACATTGGGGGGATTGGGGACATTGGGGGGATTGGGGACATTGGGGACATTGGGGGGATTGGGGACACTGGGGGGATTGGGGACATTGGGGACATTGGGGACATTGGGGGGATTGGGGACATTGGGGACATTGGGGGGATTGGGGACACTGGGGGGATTGGGGACATGGGGGTGGCACAGGGACATGGGGACATGGGGATGACACGGGGACATGGGGACCTTTGAGTGACACAGGGACATGGGGACACGGGGACAGGGGAGTGACACAGGGACATGGGGACACGAGGGTGACATGGGGACATGGGGACATGGGGACATGGGGACCTTTGAGTGACACAGGGACACAGGGGGGACACGGGGACATGGGGACATGGGGGTGACACAGGGACATGGGGACCTTTGAGTGACACAGGGACACGGGGGCGACATGGGGACATGGGGACATGGGGACATGGGGACCTTTGAGTGACACAGGGACACAGGGGGGACATGGGGACATGGGGGGGGACACGGGGACACAGTGACCTTTGAGTGACACAGGGACACCGGGACATTGGGGACACTTGGGGACATGGGGGTGGCACAGGGACACAGGGACATGGGGACACAGGGACACGGGGACATGGGGACACAGGGACATGGGGACACGGGGACAGCAGCCCGAGGAGCCGCGGGACTACTACGGGCAGGAGCTGCTGCGGTTCCCCATGGAGAGCCCCGGGCACGGTGAGGGACATTGAGGACACCGGGGGTGGCACAGGGACACGGGGACACCGGGACACTGGGGACATTTGGGGACATGGGGACAGCAGCACTACTACGGGCAGGAGCTGCTGCGCTTCCCCATGGAGAGCCCCGGGCACGGTGAGGGACATCGGGGGGACATGGGGACACTTGGGGACATGGGGGTGGCACAGGGACATGGGGACCTTTGAGTGACACGGGGACACAGGGGGGACACAGGGACATGGGGACATGGGGATGACATGGGGACCTCTGAGTGACACAGGGACATGGGGGTGACACAGGGACATGGGGACATTGGGGGTGGCACAGGGACATGGGGACATGGGGGGGACACAGGGACATGGGGACCTTTGAGTGACACAGCGACATAGGGGGGACATTGGGGACATGGGGACATGGGGACCTTTGAGTGACACAGGGACACAGGGGTGGCACAGGGACACGGGGGGACACGGGGACAGGGGGGTGACAGGGACAGCTGGACACGGGGGGGGACACGGGGGGACAATGAGGGGTCACTGCAGGGACAGATGGACATGGTGACCCCTGGGCTGCTCCTCGGTGACACCTCGGTGACATCCTGGTGACCCCTGGGTGGCCCTCAGGTGGCCTGGTGACCCCTCAGTGACCCCCTCAGTGTCCCCTCAATGTCCCCCCAATGTCCCCAATGTCCCCAATGTCCCCAATCCCCCCAATGTCCCCAATGTCCCCCCAATCCCCCCAATGTCCCCAATGTCCCCAATCCCCCCAATCCCCCCAATCCCCCCAATGTCCCCAATGTCCCTGATGTCCCCAATGTCCCCAATGTCCCCAATGTCCCCAATGTCCCCAATGTCCCCAAATGTCCCCAATGTCCCCCAATCCCCCCAATGTCCCCAATCCCCCCAATGTCCCCAATGTCCCTGATGTCCCCAATGTCCCCAATGTCCCCAATGTCCCCAATGTCCCCAATGTCCCCAATGTCCCCAATGTCCCCAATGTCCCCAATCCCCCCAATGTCCCCAATGTCCCTGATGTCCCCAATGTCCCCAATGTCCCCAAATGTCCCCAATGTCCCCAATCCCCCCAATGTCCCCAATGTCCCCAATGTCCCCAATGTCCCCAATGTCCCCAATGTCCCCCAATCCCCCCAATGTCCCCAATGTCCCTGATGTCCCCAATGTCCCCAATGTCCCCAATGTCCCCAATCCCCCCAATGTCCCCAATGTCCCCAATGTCCCCAATGTCCCCAATGTCCCCAATGTCCCCAATGTCCCCAATCCCCCCAATGTCCCCAATGTCCCCAATCCCCCCAATGTCCCCAATGTCCCCAATGTCCCCAATGTCCCCAATGTCCCCAATGTCCCCAATGTCCCCAATGTCCCCAATCCCCCCAATGTCCCCAATGTCCCCAATGTCCCCAATGTCCCCAATGTCCCTGATGTCCCCAATGTCCCCAATGTCCCCAATGTCCCCAATGTCCCCAATGTCCCCAATCCCCCCAATGTCCCCAATGTCCCCAATGTCCCCAATGTCCCCAATGTCCCCGATGTCCCCGATGTCCCGCAGGTGACACGCAGCGCTGGCGCCCCTCCCCCCGCAGTCTCTATTTCGTGTTTAACATTTCCCAAATTCGGGCCGGGCTGGGCCGGGCTGAGCTGAGCCGGGCTGAGCTGCGCATGGTGCGCCAGGGGACATTGGGGACATCGGGGACAGCGGGGACAGCGGGGACATCGGCAGGGACATCGGTCCTGGGGACGGAGCAGAGAGTCGAGCTCTACCAGGTGGGTACTGGGACATTGGGGACATTTGGGGACATTGGGGACATTGGGGACATTGGGGACATTGGGGGGTTTTGGGACATTGGGGGGATTGGGGACATTGGGGACATTGGGGGGTTTTGGGACATTGGGGACATTTGGAGAAAGTTGGGGGAATGGGGACATTGTGGGACATTGAGAACATTTGGGGGAATTTGGGACATTGGGGGGATTGGGGACATTGGGGACATTGGGGACATTGGGAGGATTTGGGGATTTGGGGACACCTGGGGACATTGGGGACATTGGGGACATTGGGGACATTGGGGACATTTGGGACATTGAGAACATTTGGGGGAATTTGGGACATTGGGGACATTGGGGGGATTGGGGGGATTGGGGACATTGGGGGGACATTGGGGACATTTGAGGTGATTTGGGGACATTTGGGGACATTGGGGACAGCTCCAGAGCCACCCCCAGTGAAGGAAGAGGGACCCAGTCCCATCCCGGCCCCAAATTTGGGGACACGATGGTGTGACGTCACCTGTGCCCCCAATGTCCCCAGTGTCCCCAATGTCCCCAGTCCCCCCAATGTCCCCAATGTCCCCAATGTCCCCAATCCCCCCAATGTCCCCAATGTCCCCAATGTCCCCAATGTCCCCAATGTCCCCCCAATGTCCCCAATGTCCCCAATGTCCCCAATCCCCCCAATGTCCCCAATGTCCCCAATGTCCCCAATGTCCCCAATGTCCCCAATGTCCCCAATGTCCCCCCAATCCCCCCAATCCCCCCAATGTCCCCAATGTCCCCAAATGTCCCCAATGTCCCCCCAATGTCCCCAATGTCCCCAATGTCCCCAATCCCCCCAATGTCCCCAATGTCCCCAATGTCCCCAATGTCCCCAATGTCCCCAATGTCCCCCCAATCCCCCCAATCCCCCCAATGTCCCCAATGTCCCCAAATGTCCCCAATGTCCCCCCAATGTCCCCAATGTCCCCAATGTCCCCAATGTCCCCCCAATGTCCCCAATCCCCCCAATGTCCCCAATGTCCCCAATGTCCCCAATGTCCCCAATGTCCCCAAATGTCCCCAATGTCCCCCCAATGTCCCCAATGTCCCCAATGTCCCCAATGTCCCCCCAATGTCCCCAATCCCCCCAATCCCCCCAATGTCCCCCAATGTCCCCAATGTCCCCCCAATGTCCCCAATGTCCCCCAATGCCCCCAATGTCCCCAATGTCCCCAATCCCCCCAATGTCCCCCAATGTCCCCAATGTCCCCAATGTCCCCAATGTCCCCAATGTCCCCAATGTCCCCAATGTCCCCCCAATGTCCCCAATGTCCCCAATGTCCCCAATGTCCCCAATGTCCCCAATGTCCCCAATCCCCCCAATCCCCCCAATGTCCCCAATGTCCCCAATGTCCCCCCAATGTCCCCAATGTCCCCCCAATGTCCCCAATCCCCCCAATGTCCCCAATCCCCCCAATGTCCCCAATGCCCCCAATGCCCCCAATCCCCCCAATGTCCCCAATGTCCCCAATGTCCCCAATGTCCCCAATCCCCCCTCTGTCCCCAATGTCCCCAATGTCCCCAATCCCCCCAATGTCCCCAATGCCCCCAATGCCCCCAATGCCCCCAATGTCCCCAATGTCCCCAATGTCCCCAATGTCCCCAATGTCCCCAATATCCCCAATGTCCCCAATATCCCCAATGTCCCCAATATCCCCAATGTCCCCAATCCCCCCAATGTCCCCAATGTCCCCAATCCCCCCAATGTCCCCAATGTCCCCCAATGTCCCCAATGTCCCCAATGTCCCCAATGTCCCCAATGTCCCCAATGTCCCCAGGGATTCGGGAACTCCTCCTGGCGGTATCTCCACGGCCGCTCCGTCATTGTCACCGCTGAGGACGAGTGGCTCTGGTTCGACGTCACCGACACCGTCCGGCAGTGGCTGCGCGGCTCAGGTGAGGGACAGCGGCGTCCCCACGGCCCCAAAAATTCCCAAAATTCCAAAAATTCCTGAAAAAACCCCACAAAATTCCCCAAAATCCCGCAAAATTCCCAAAAATTCCGCGAGAATTAGCCAAATTTCCACCGAAATACGGCAAAATGGTCCCAAAAAATCTGCCACGGATGTGCGGCTCCCAGCAGAGTCCCCATGGTCCCAAAATCCTACAAAAGTCCCAAAAATTCCCAAAATTCCTGAAAACCCCACAAAATTCACGAAAATTCTGCAAAATTCCCAAAAATTCCGCAAGAATTGGCCAAAATTCCACCAAAATACGGCAAAATGTCCCAAAAACTCCGCCCGCGGATTCATGGCTCCCGGGGGAACAGCAGAGTCCCCAAAATCCCCCCAAAATCCTGCAAAAGTCCCAAAAATTCCCAAAATACCTGAAAACCTCACAAAATTCCCGAAAATTCCGCAAAATTCCCAAAAATTCCGCAAGAATTGGCCAAAATTCCACCAAAATACGGCAAAATGTTCCCAAAAATCTGCTGTGGATGCGCAGCTCCCAGGGGAACAGCAGAGTCCCCAAAATCCCCCCAAAATCCTGCAAAAGTCCCAAATATTCCCAAAATTCCTGAAAACCCCAAAAAATTCCCAAAAATCCCACAAAATTCCCGAAAATTCTGCAAGAATTGGCCAAATTTCCACCCAAATACGGCAAAATGGTCCCAAAAAATCTGCTGCGGATGCGCAGCTCCCAGCAGAGTCCCCACGGTCCCAAAATCCGTCAAAAGTCCCAAAAATTCACCAAAATTTAGGAAAATTCCAAAAAATCCCATAAATTTCCCGAAAATTCCGCAAGAATTGGCCAAATTTACGCCCAAATATGGCAAAATGTTCCCAAAAAATCTGCTGCAGATGCGCAGCTCCTGGGGTAGGCAGAAGAGTCCACAAAATCCTGCAAAAGTCCCAAAAATTCCCAAAATTCCTGAAAACCCCACAAAATTCCCAAAAATACCACAAAATTCCAAAAAATTCCGCAAGAATTGGCCAAAATTCCGCCAAAATACGGCAAAATCTTCCCAAAAAATCCGCCCGCGGATTCGCGGCTCCCGGGGGGGACAGCAGAGTCCCCAAAATCCCAAAAAAATCCGTCAAAAGTCCCAAAAATTCACAAAATTCCTGAAAATCCCACAAAATTCCCGAAAATTCTGCAAAATTCCAAAAAAATCCGCGAGAATTGGCCAAAATTCCACCAAAATACGGCAAAATGGTCCCAAAAAAATCTGCCACGGATGCGCCACTCCCGGGGGGACAGCAGAGTCCCCAAAATCCTGCAGAAGTCCCAAAAATTCCCAAAATTCCTGAAAAACCCCACAAAATTCCCAAAACTCCCGCAAAATTCCCGAAAATTCCGCAAGAATTGGCCAAATTTCCACCCAAATACGGCAAAATGTTCCCAAAAAAATCTGCCGCGGATGCGCGGCTCTGGTGAGGGGCAGCAGAGTCCCCAAAATCCCCCCAAAATCCGGCAAAAGTCCCAAAAATTCCCAAAATTCCTGAAAATCCCAAAAAATTCCCAAAAATACCACAAAATTCCCAAAAATCCCGTGAGAATTGGCCAAATTTCCACCCAAATACGGCAAAATGGTCCCAAAAATCTGCTGCGGATGAGCAGCTCCCGGGGGGACAGCAGAGTCCCCAAAATCCCCCCAAAATCCTGCAAAAGTCCCAAAAATTCCCAAAATTCCTGAAAACCCCACAAAATTCCCAGAAATACCGCAAAATTCCCGAAAATTCCATAAGAATTGGCCAAAATTCCACCCAAATACGGCAAAATGTTCCCAAAAAATCTGCTGTGGACGCAGAGCTCCCGGGGGGGACAGAAGAGTCCCCAAAATCCTGCAAAAGTCCCAAAAATTCCCAAAATTCCTGAAAACCCCACAAAATTCCCAAAAATTCCGCAAAATTCCAAAAAATTCTGCAAGAATTGGCCAAATTTACGCCCAAATAGGGGAAAATGTTCCCAAAAAATCCGCCTGCGGATGAACGGCTCCCGCGGGGACAGCAGAGTCCCCAAAATCCTCCCAAAATCCGTCAAAAGTCCCAAAAATTCACCAAAATTTAGGAAAATTCAAAAAATCTCATAAATTTCCCGAAAATTCCGCGAGAATTGGCCAAAATTCCACCAAAATACGGCAAAATGTTCCCAAAAATCTGCTGCGGATGTGCAGCTCCCGGGGGGAACAGCAGAGTCCCCAAAATCCCCCCAAAATCCTGCAAAATCCCAAAAATTCACAAAATTCCTGAAAACCCCACAAAATTCCCAAAAATTCTGCAAAATTCCCAAAAATTCCGCAAGAATTGGCCAAAATTCCACCGAAATACGGCAAAATGTTCCCAAAAAATCTGCTGTGGACGCAGAGCTCCCGGGGGAACAGCAGAGTCCCCAGAATCCCCCCAAAATCCTGCAAAAGTCCCAAAAATTCCCAAAATTCCTGAAAACCCCACAAAATTCCCGAAAATTCCGCAAAATTCCCAAAAATTCCGCGAGAATTGGCCAAATTTACGCCCAAATATGGCAAAATGTCCCAAAAACTCCGCCCGCGGATTTGCGGCTCCCGGGGGAACAGCAGAGTCCCCAAAATCCCCCCAAAATCCTACAAAAGTCCCAAAAATTCCCAAAATTCCTGAAACCCCACAAAATTCCCAAATATTCCACAAAATTCCCGAAAATTCCGCGAGAATTGGCCAAAATTCCACCCAAATACGGCAAAATCTTCCCAAAAAATCTGCTGTGGATGTGCGGCTCTCGGGGGGACAGCGGCGTCCCCACGGCCCCAAAAATTCCCAAAATTCCCAAAATTCCCGAAAAACCCACAAAATTCCTGAAAATTCCACAAAATTCCCGAAAATTCCGTGAGAATTGGCCAAAATTCCAGCAAAATACAGCAAAATGTCCCAAAAATCTGCTGCGGATGTGCGGCTCCCGGAGGGGACAGCAGAGTCCCCAAAATCCCCCCAAAATCCGGCAAAAGTCCCAAAAATTCCCAAAATTCCTGAAAATCCCACAAAATTCCCAAAAATTACACAAAATTCCCAAAAATTCCGCAAGAATTGGCCAAAATTCCACCAAAATACGGCAAAATGGTCCCAAAAATCTGCTGTGGATTCGCGGCTCCCGGGGGGAACATCAGAGTCCCCAAAATCCCAAAAAAATCCGTCAAAAGTCCCAAAAATTCACCAAAATTTAGCAAAATTCCCCAAAATCCCACAAATTTCCCGAAAATTCCGCAAGAATTGGCCAAATTTACGCCCAAATACGGCAAAATGTTCCCAAAAAATCCGCCTGCGGATAAACGGCTCCCGGGGGAACAGCAGAGTCGCCAAAATCCCAAAAAAATCCATCAAAACTCCCAAAAATTCACACAAATTTAGGAAAATTCCCCAAAATCCCATAAATTTCCCAAAAATTCAGCAAGAGTTGGCCAAATTTATACCCAAATAGGGGAAAATCGCCCCAAAAATCCGACTGTGGGTGCCCAGCTCAGGTGAGGGGCAGCAGAGTCCCAAAATCCCCAAATTACCCCAAATTTCCCCAAAATCCCCCCCTAAATACCCCCAAAATCCCCCCAAACCCCCCAACATCCCCCCAAACTTCCCCCAAAATCCCCCCAAAATCCCCCAAATTCCCCCAAATCCCCCCCCAAAATTCCCCAAATTTCTCCAAAATTCCCCCCAAATACCCCCCAAAATCCCCCCAAACTCCCCCAAAATCTCCCCAAAATCCCCCCAAATCCCCCCAAAATCCCCCCAAATCTCCCTAAAATCCCTCCAAATTCCCCCAAAATCGCCCCCAAATTCCCCCCAAAATCTCCGTCAAAACTCCCGAAAACCCTCCCCAAAACCCCCCAAAACCCCCCAAAATCCCCCCAAAATTCCCAAAATCTCCCCAACATCCCCCAAATTTCCCCAAAATGCCCCAAAATCCCCCAAATTCCCCCAGAACCGTTGGGGCTGTTCCGGCTCAGCGCCCACTGCCCCTGCGAGCCACAACCCCAAATCCCCCCAAAATCCTCCCAAAACCCCCGAAATCCCCACAAAATCCCCCAAATCCCCCCAAAATCCCTCAAAATCTCCCCAAAATCCCCCCAAATCTTCTCCAGAATTTTCCAAAATCTTCTCCAAATTCCCCCCAAACCCCCCTCAAATTCCCCCCAAAATCTCCGTCAAAACTCCCGAAAACTCTCCTGAAAACCCCCCAAATCCCCCCAAAATCCCCCCAAATCTCCCTAAAATCCCCCCAAAAATCTCCCCAAAATCCCCCCAAAACCCCCTAAATCCCCCAAATTTCCCAAAATCCCCCAAATTTCCCCCAGAACCGCTGGGGCTGTTCCGGCTCAGCGCCCACTGCCCCTGCGAGCCAAAACCCCAAATTCTCCTAAAATCTCCCCAAAATTCCCCCAAATACCCCCCAAAATCCCCCCAAAATCCCCCCAAAACCTCCAAAATCCCCCAAATTTCCCCAAAATCCCCCAAAATCTCCCCAAAATCCCCCCAAAATCCTCCCAAAATCCCCCAAATCCCCCCAAAATCCCCCCAAATCCCCCTCAAATTCCCCCCAAAATCTCCGTCAAAACTCCCGAAAACTCTCCCCAAAACCCCCCAAATCCCCTCAAAATCTCCCAATATTCCCCTAAAATCCCCCAACATCCCCCCAAAACCCCAAAAGCCCCCAAAATCCCCAAAATTCCCCCAAATCCCCCTCAAATTCCCCCCAAAATCTCCGTCAAAACTCCCAAAAATCCCCCCAAAATGCCCCAAAATCCCCCCAAAATACCCCCAAAAATCTCTCCAAAATCCCCAAAATTTCCCCAAATTTCCCCCGTTCAGAGCCTTTGGGGCTGTTCCGGCTCAGCGCCCACTGCCCCTGCCATTGAAATTGCCCCAAAATCCCCCCAAAATCCCCCAAAATCCCCCCAGATTTCCCCAAAATCCCCCCAAATTCTCCAAAATTCCCCAAAATTCCCAAAATTTCCCCAAAATTTCTCCCAAAATCCCCCCAAAATCTCCGCAACATTCACCAAAATCCCCCCAAAATCCCCCCAAAATCTCCCCAAATCCCCCCAAAATCCCCCCAAATTTCCCTAAAATCCCCCAAAAATCTCCCCAAAATCCCCAAAATTCCCAATTTTCCCAAAATCCCCCAAATTTCCCCCAGAACCGCTGGGTGTGTTCCGGCTCAGCGCCCACTGCCCGTGTGAGCCAAAACCCCAAATCCCCCCAAAATACCCCAAAATCCCCCAAAATCCCCCTAAAATCCCCTCAAAACCCCCCAAAATTCCCAAAATCCCCCAAATTTCCCCAAATTTCCCAAATTTCCCAAAATCCCCCAAATTTCCCCCATTCAGAGCCTTTGGGGCTGTTCCGGCTCAGCGCCCACTGCCCGTGTGAGCCAAAACCCCCAATCCCCCCAAATCCCCCCAAATCCCCCCAAAATCCCCCCAAAAACCCCCAATTCCCCCAAAATTCCCAAATTTCCCAAAAATCCCCCAAAATCTCCACAAATCCCCCCAGATTCCTCCAAAATTTCCCCAGAATCCCCCCAAATCCCCGTCAAATTCCCCCCAAAACCTCCGTCAAAACTCCCGAAAATCCCCCCAAAACTCCCCCAAATCCCCCCAAAATTCCCCCCAAAATTCCCAAAATTTCCTCAAAATCCCCCAAATTTCACCAATTTTCCCAAAATCCCCCAAATTTCCCCCAGAACCGCTGGGTGTGTTCCGGCTCAGCGCCCACTGCCCGTGTGACTCCGGCGGCCCCGGGGACGCCCCAAACCTCAAAATCTCCATCGAAGGTACCCGGAGCCAAATTTGGGGGAAATTTGGGGGTTTTTGGGGAATTTGGGGGATTTTGGGGAATTATGGGGGGGATTTTGAGGCGTTTTGATGGGATTTTTGGGAGCTTTGATGGAGATTTTGGGTGGAATTTGAGGGAGACATTGGGGGATTTGGGAGATTTTGGGGGGATTTTGGGGAATTTTGGGGAATTTTGGGGGATTTTGGGGAATTATGGGGGAGATTTTGATGGGTTTTGATGGGATTTTTGGGAGTTTTGGGGGGATTTTGGGGGATTTGGGGAATTTTGGGGGATTTGGGGCGATTTTGGGGGATTTGGGGGGATTTTGGGGGATTTTGGTGGATTTGGGGGAATTTTGGGGGGGATTTGGGGGGATTTTGGGAGATTTTGGGGGAATTTTGGGAGATTTTTGGGGGATTTTGGGGGAATTTTGGGGATTTTGGGGGAATTATGGGGGGATTTTGATGGGTTTTGATGGGATTTTTGGGAGTTTTGGGGGGATTTTGGGGGAATTTTGGGGAATTTCGGGGGGACTTTGGGAGATTTGGGGGATTTTAGGGAATTTTGGGGGGGGTTTGGGGAATTTTGGGGGAATTTTGGGGGGATTTGGGGAATTTTGGGAGTTTTGGGAGGATTTGGGAGGATTTTGGCAGGATTTGGCGGGATTTGGGGGGATTTTGGGGGGATTTTGGGGGATTTTGGGGGAATTTTGGGAGATTTTTGGGGGATTTGGGGAAATTTTGGGTGATTTTTCGGATTGGGGATGATTTGGGTGGTTTTTTTGGAGGGTTTTTGGGAGTTTTGGGATGTTTTTGGGGAGATTTGGGGGAATTTTGGGGCGTTTTGGGGGGATTTTTGGGAGTTTTGACAGAGATTTTGGGGGGAATTTGAGGGGGACGTTGGGGGATTTGGGAGATTTTGGGGGATTTGGGGGATTTGGGGGGATTTTGGGCAGATTTGGGGGGATTTAGGGGATATTCAGGGATTTTGAGGGTTTTGAGGGATTTTGGGGGAATTTTGGAGGACTTGGGGGATTTTTAGGGTTTTTTTGGGAATTATTGGGGATTTGGAGGTGATTTTTGGGAGTTTTGATGGAGATTTTGGGGAGATTTTGGAGAATTTTGGGTGGATTTTTGGGTCTCTCTGGGGGGTTTTGGGGCATTTCAGGATTTTTTGGGTGGATTTGGTTTCATTTTGGGCGGTTTCGGTGGAATTTTCATGTCCCCAATGTCCCCAATGTCCCCAATGTCCCCCCAATGTCCCCAATGTCCCCCCAATGTCCCCAATGTCCCCCCAATGTCCCCAATGTCCCCCCAATGTCCCCAATGTCCCCAATGATGACAATGACGATGATGACGATGATGATGACAATGACGATGACGATGATGACGATGACGATGATCTCCCCAATGACGATGATGACGATGATGACGATGACGATGATGATGTCCCCAATGACAATGATGATGACGATGACGATGATGATGATGATGATGATGATGACGATGATGATGATGACGATGATGATGACGATGACGATGATGATGATGACGATGATGACGATGACGATGACAATGATGATGACGATGATGACAATGACGATGATGATGATGACGATGATGACGATGACAATGATGTCCCCAATGATGATGATGATGATGACGATGATGATGATGTCCCCAATGATGACGATGATGACAATGATGACGATGACAATGATGACGATGATGATGTCCCCAATGATGACGATGATGACAATGATGACGATGATGATGACGATGACGATGACGATGACGATGATGATGATGACGATGACAATGATGACGATGACGATGATGATGACAATGATGATGACGATGACGATGACGATGACGATGATGATGATGACAATGACGATGTTGATGACAATGATGACGATGACAATGATGATGTCCCCAATGTCCCCAATGATGATGACGATGACGATGATGACGATGTCCCCGCAGGCTTCGAGCAGCAGCGGGGAGACATACAGAGTTGTCCCCAATGTCCGCAATGATGATGATGATGATGTCCCCAATGTCCCCAATGTCCCCAGTGACGATGACGATGATGATGACGATGATGATGATGATGACGATGACGATGATGTCCCCAATGACCCCAATGACGATGATGATGATGACGATGATGATGATGACAATGATGATGATGTCCCCAATGATGATGATGATGATGATGATGACAATGATGACGATGACGATGATGATGATGTCCCCAATTTCCCCAATGATGATGATGATGATGACGATGTCCCCAATGATGATGATGATGATGATGATGACGATGATGATGATGTCCCCAATGTCCCCATTGTCCCCATTGTCCCCAATGACGATGATGATGATGACAATGATGACAATGATGACGATAACGATGATGACGATGATGATGATGACGATGATGACAATGATGATGACGATGATGATGACGACGATGACGATGACGATGATGATGATGTCCCCAATGACGATGATGACGATGATGACGGTGACAATGATGACAATGATGATGATGATGATGATGTCCCCAATGTCCCCACTGTCCCCGCAGGCTTCGAGCAGCAGCGCGGTGACATGCAGAGCATCGCGCGGCGTCACCGCCGTGTCCCCCACGTCCTGGCCATGGCGCTGCCACCCGAGCGCGCCCAGGCCCTGCACGGCCACCGGCAGCGGCGGGAGCTGGAGGGACAGCACTGCGGGGGGTGGGGACATGGGGACATCGGGGACATTGGGGGACATTGGGGACATTGGGGACATTGGGGACATTGGGGGACATTGGGGACATTGGGGACATTGGGGGGACATTGGGGACATTGGGGGGATTGGGGACATTGGGGACATTGGGGACAAATCTCCCCCAAACCTGCATTTATCCCCCTGGGACCCCCCAAATTCCCCTAAATCTCCCCAAATCCCACCAAAATCCTCCCCAAACTCCCCAAAATCTCATCTAAACCCTCCAAAATCCCCCAAAACCCCCATTTATCACCCTGGGACCCCCAAAATCCCCCCAAACCCCCCAAAATTTCCTCTAAACTCCCCAAAATCCACCCCAAACCCTCAATTATCACCCTGGGACACCCCAAAATCCCCCCAAATCCCCCAAAATCCTCCCCAAACCCTCAATTATCACCCCGTGACCCCCCAAAATCCCCCCAAATCCTCCCCAAACCCCCCAGAATCCACCCCAAACCCTCATTTATCACCCTGGGGCCCCCTGAAATCCCCAAAAATACCCCCCAAATCCCACCAAAATCCTCCCCAAACCCCCCATAATCCTCCCCAAACCCTCATTTACCACCCCGTGACCCCCCAAAATCCCCCCAAATCCCCAAAAGTCCCCCCAAACCCCCCAAAATCCCCCCAACCCCCCCCCAAAATCTCCTCTAAACCTCCCAAAATCCCCCCAAACCCCCCCAAAATCCCCCACTCTTCACTCAGGGAGATCTCGGGATTCCCAAAATCCCCCCAAATGCCCCCAAAATCTCCTCTAAACCCCCCAAAATCCCCCCAAACCCCCCCAAAATCCCCCACTCTTCACTCAGGGAGATCTGGGGATCCCCAAAATCCCCCCAAAACCCCCCAAAATCCCCTCTAAACCCCCCAAATTCCCCCAATTCCAGTCCCGAGGAGGGGAGCTGCTGCGTGTGGCCGCTGTGGATCGATTTCCGGCGGGACCCCCAAAATCCCCCAAATCGCCCAAAATCCCCCCCTAACCCCCCAAAATCCTCCCCTAAGCCCCAAAATCCTCCTGAAATCCCCAAAATCCTCTCCAAAAGCCCCCCCAAACCCTCCCCAAGCCCCCATTTATCACCCTGGGACCCCCCAAAATCCCCCTAAATCTCCCCAAATCCTCCCCAAACCCCCATTTATCAGCCTGGGACCCCCCAATTCCCCCCTGGGACCCCCCAAATTCCCCCAAATCCACCCTGGGACCCTGAAACCCCCCAAATCCCACCTTGGTGTGGTGGGTGTCACCCCCCAGATGTAGGAACAGGCCCCCAAATCCCCCTGGGACCCCCCAAATCCCCTCAAATCCCCCAAAATCTCCTCTAATCCCCCCTGGGACCCCCCAAATCCACCCCAAATCCCCCCAAACCCTTCCCAAACCCTCATTTATCACCCTGGGACCCCCCAAAATCCCCCCAAAATTCCCCCAAACCCTCCCCAAACCCCCATTTATCACCCCAAATCCCCCCAAAATCTCCTCTAAACCCCCCAAAATCCCCCTAAATCTCCCCAAATTCCACCAAAATCCCCCCAAATCCCCCCAAAATCCCCCCAAACCCCAAAAAATCCCCCCAAAATCTCCTCTAAATCCCCCAAATTCCCCCCAAAAATCCAGCCCCGAGGAGGGGAGCTGCTGCGTGCGGCCGCTGTGGATCGATTTCCGGCGGGACCCCCAAAATCCCCCCAAACCCCCATTTATCACCCTGGGACCCCCAAAACCCCCCCCAAACCTTCCCCAAATCCCCATTTATCACCCTGGGATCCCCGAAAAATCCCCTAAATCCCCCCAAAATCTCCTCTAAACCCCCCAAAATCCCCCCAAATCCAGCCCGAACCCCCCAAAATCCACCCCAAAACCCCCATTTATCACGCTGGGACTCCCCAAAAATCCCCCCAACCCCCCCCCAAACCCTCATTTATCCCCCTGGGACCCCCCCAAACCCCCCAAAATCTCCTCTAAACCCCCCAAAATACCCTAAATCCCCCCAAAATCCCCCCAAATCCTCCCCAAACCCTCATTTATCAGCCCGGGACCCCCCAAAATCCCCCCTGGGACCCCCCAAATCCCCCCAAATTCCCCCTGGGACCCCCCAAATTCCCCCTGGGACCCCCCAAATCCCCCCTGGGACCCCCCAAATCCCCCCAAATCCACCCCAAAACCCCCAAAATCCCCCCAAAATACCAAATTTCCCCAAAATTCCAGCCCCGAGGAGGGGAGCTGCTGCGTGCGGCCGCTGTGGATCGATTTCCGCCGGGACCCCCAAAATTCCCCCAAATCCCCCAAAATCCCCTCAATATTCCCCCAAACCCCCATTTATCACCCCGGGACCCCCCAAATCCCCCCAAATCTCCCCAGATCCCCCCAAACCCTCCCCAAACCCCCATTTATCAGACTGGGACCCCCCAATTCCCCCCTGGGACCCCCCAAATCCCCCCAAATCCACCCTGGGACCCCCCAAATCCCCCAAAATCCCCCAAAATCCTCCCCAAATCCTCCCAAACCCCCCCAAAATCCTCCCCTAACCCCCTAAAATCTCCTCTAAACCCCCCAAAATCCCCCCAAACCCCCCCAAAATCCTCCCCAAATCCTCCCCAAACCCCCCAAAATTACCCCAAAATCCCCCAAAATCCCCCCAAACTCCCCCTAAATCTCCCCAAAACCTCCCAAAATCTCCTCTAAACCACCATTTCTCACTCCATGACCCCCCAAAATCCCCAAATTCCCCCCAAATTCCAGCCCGGAGGAGGGGAGCTGCTGCGTGCGGCCGCTGTGGATCGATTTCCGCCGGGACCTGCAGTGGAAGTGGATCCACGAGCCCCGCGGCTACATGGCCAATTTCTGCGGGGGGGGCTGCGCCTACATCTGGGGGGGCGACAGCCACCACACCAAGGTGGGTTTGGGGGTCCCGGGGGGGGGGGGGGGGTTTGGGGGGATTTTGGGGGGTCCCTGGGGGGTTTGAGGGGGATATTGGGGGGATTAGAGGAGATTTGGGGGGATTTGGGGGGTCCCAGGAGGGATTTGGGGGGATTTGGGGGGTCCCGGGGGGGATTTGGGGGGGATTTTGGGGGTCCCAGGGTGATAAATGAGGGTTTGGGGAGGGTTTGGGGGGATTTGGGGGGTCCCAGGGGGATTTTGGGGGGTCCCAGGGTGATAACTGAGGGTTTCGGGAGGATTTGGGGGGATTTTGGGGGGATTTGGGGGGATTTGGGGAGTCCCAGGGGGGATTTGGGGGGATTTGGGGGGATTTTGGGGGTGTTTGAGGGGGATTTGTGGGGGTTTGAGGGGGATATTGGGGGGATTAGAGGAGATTTGGGGGGATTTGGGGGGTCCCAGGGGGGGTTTGGGGGGTCCCGGGGGGGATTTGGGGGGATTTGAGGGGGTTTGGGGGCCCTGGGGAGGCGACAGCCACCACACCAAGGTGGGATTTGGGGGGTTTGGGGGGATTTGGGGGGTCCCAGGGGCGATTTGGGGGATCCCAGGGTAATAAATGAGGGTTTGGGGTGGATTTGGGGAGGGTTTTGGGGGGATTAGAGGAGATTTTGGGGGGTTTAGGGGGATTTTTGGGGGTCCCAGAGTGATAAATCAGGGTTTCGGGAGGATTTGGGGGGATTTTGGTGGGATATTGGTGGGATATTGGGGGGATTAGAGGAGATTTTGGGAGATTTGAGGGAGATTTGGGGGGTCTCAGGGGGGGTTTGGGGGCCTGTTCCTACATCTGGGGGGTGACACCCACCAAACCAAGGTGGGATTTGGGGGTTTGGGGGGGTTTGGGGGGAGTTTGGGGGCTCCCAGGGTGATAAATGGGGGTTTGGGGAGGATTTTGGGGGATTTGAGGGGGATTTGGGGGGTCCTCGGGGGTCCCAGGGGGGATTTGGGGGGATTTGGGGAGTCCCCGGGGGGATTTTGGGGGGATTTAGGGGGTCCCAGAGGGGATTTGGGGGGATTTGGGGGGATTTGGGGGTCCCTGGGGGGTTTGAGGGGATTTGGGGGGTCCCAGGGGGGTTTGGGGGTCTGTTCCTACATCTGGGGGGGCGACAGCCACCACACCAAGGTGGGATTTGGGGGGGTTTGGGGGGTCCCAGGGGGGATTTGGGGCCCTGGGGGGGCGACAGCCACCACACCAAGGTGGGATTGGGGGTCCCAGGGGGTTTGCGGGGTCCCAGGGGGGATTTGGGGGGTCCCGGGGGGATTTTGGGGGGATTTGGGGGGGATTTAGGGGGTCCCAGGGGGGATTTGGGGGGATTTGGGGGGTCCCGGGGGGGATTTGGGGGGTCCCAGGGGGTGTTTGGGGGGTCCCAGGGTGATAAATGAGGGTTTCGGGGGGATTTGGGGGGTCCCAGGGGGATTTTGGGGAGTCCCAGGGGTTGTTTGGGGGGATTTGGGAGGTCCCAGGGGGGATTTGGGGGGTCCCAGGGGGGGTTTGGGGGGATTTCGGGGGTCCCAGGGGGGGTTTGGGGGGATTTGGGGGTGTTTGAGGGGGATTTGTGGGGGTTTTGGGGGGATTTGGGGGGTCCCAGGGGGTTTGGGGGCCCTTTCCTACATCTGGGGGGGCGACAGCCACCACACCAAGGTGGGATTTGGGGGTTTGGGGGGGTTTGGGGGGTCCCAGGGTGATAAATGAGGGTTTGGGGAGGGTTTGGGGGGATTTTGGGGGGTCCCAGGGGGGGGTTGGGGTGTCCCAGGTGGGATTTGGGGGGTTTTGGGGGGATTTGGGGCGTCCCAGGGGGTTTGAGGGGGATATTGGGCGGATTAGAGGAGATTTGGGGGGATTTTGGGGGGTCCCAGGTTGATAAATGGGGGTTTGGGGAGGGTTTGGGGGGATTTGGGGGGGTTGCGGGGATTTTGGGGGGTCCCAGGGTGATAAATCAGCGTTTGGGGAGGATTTGGGGTGGATTTGGGGGGGATTTTGGGGGATTTGGGGGGATTTGGGGGGTCCCAGGGGGGGTTGAGGGGGATATTGGGGGGATTAGAGGAGATTTTGGGGGATTTAGGGGGTCCCAGGGGGAATTTGGGGGGTCCCAGGGCGTTTGGGGTCCTGTTCCTACATCTGGGGGGGCGACAGCCACCACACCAAGGTGGGAACTGGGGGGTTTGGGGGTCCCAGGGGGGATTTGGGGGGATTTGGGGAGATTTAGGGGGATTTTGGGGGGTCCCAGGGTGATAAATGAGGGTTTGGGGAGGATTTGGGGGGATTTTGGGGGGATTTGGGGGGATATTGGGGGGGATTAGAGGAGCTTTAGGGGGATTTGGGGGGTCCCAGGGGGGGTTTGGGGTGGATTTTGGGGGGATTTGGGGGGTCCGGGGGGGATTTGGGGGGTTCCAGGGGGCCCCAGGGGGGGTTTGGGGGGATTTGGGGGGTCCCGGGGGGTTTGGGGGCCCTGGGGGGGTGACAGCCATCACACCAAGGTGGGGTTTGGGGGGTCCCAGGGGTGATTTGGGGGGATTTGGGGGGGATTTGGGGAGTCCCAGGGGTTGTTTGGGGGGATTTGGGGGGTCCCAGGGGGTTTGGGGGGTCCCAGGGGGGATTTGGGGGGGATTTTTGGGGGCTCTGAGGGTGATAAATGAGGGTTTTGGGAGGATTTGGGGGGATTTTGGGGGGATTTTGGGGGGTCCCTGGGGGGTTTGAGGGGATTTGGGGGGTCCCAGGGGGGATTTGTGGGGATTTGTGGGGATTTTGGGGGGATTTTGGGGGGTCCCTGGGGGGTTTGAGGGGATTTGGGGGGTCCCAGGGGGGTTTGGGGGTCCTGTTCCTACATCTGGGGGAGCGACAGCCACCACACCAAGGTGGGATTGGGGGGGGTTTGGGGGTCCCGGGGGGGATTTGGGGGTCCCAGGGGGGATTTGGGGGGTCCAGGGGATTTGGGGGTCTGTTCCTACATCTGGGGGGGCGACACCCACCACACCAAGGTGGGCTTTGGGGGGATTTTGGGGGGATTAGAGGAGATTTTGGGGGGTCCCAGGGTGATAAATGGGGGTTTGGGGAGGGTTTGGGGGGATTTTGGGGGGTCCCAGGGGGGATATTGGGGGGAATTGGGGGGATTTGGGGGGTCCTGGGGTGATAAATGGGGGATTTGGGGTGGATTTGGGGGGATACTGGGGGGATTAGAGGAGATTTTGGGGGTTTAGGGGGATTTTTGGGGGTCCCAGAGTGATAAATCAGGGTTTCGGGAGGATTTGGGGGGATTTTGGGGGGATTTGGGGGGTGCCAGGGGGGATTTGGGGGGATTTTCGGGGTCCCAGGGGGGATTTGGGGGGTCCCGAGGGCCATTTGGGGGGTCCCAGGGTGATAAATGAGGGTTTGGGAAGGGTCTGGGGGGATTTGGGGGGTTTTAGAGGAGATTTTGGGGGATGTTGGGGGATTTGGGGGGTCCCAGGGGGGGTTTGGGGAGATTTTGGGGGGTCCCAGGGTGATAAATGGGGGTTTGGGGAAGGTCTGGGGGGTTTAGAAGAGATTTAGGGGGATTTTGGGGGGTCCCAGGGGGGATTTGGGGCGATTTGGGGGGTCCCAGGGGGGATTTGGGGGGATTTGGGGGGTCCCAGGGGGGATTTCGGCGAGTCCCAGGGGGATTTGGGGGGTTTTGGGGGGAATTTGGGGGGATTTGGGGGGTCTCGGGGGGAGTTTGGGGGGTCCCAGGGTGATAAATGTGGGTTTGGGGTGGATTTGGGGGCATTTTGGGGGTCCCGGGGGGTTTGGGGGTCTGTTCCTACATCTGGGGGGGCGACAGCCACCACACCAAGGTGGGCTTTGGGGGGTTTGGGGGGTCCCAGGGGGGATTTGGGGGAGGTTGAGGGGGATTTTGGGGGGATTTTTAGATGCATTCCGAGGATAATTTGGGTGCATTTTGGGTGTATTTTGGGGTTATTTCGGGTGCTTTTCAGGTGTATTTTGCGTGTATTTCGGGTATATTCTGTGGGTGTATTTCAAGTGTATTTCAGGTGTATTTTGGTGTATTTTGGGTGTATTTTGGGTGTGTTCTGGGTTTATTTCGAGCGTATTTCGGGTGTATTTTGGTGTATTTTGGGTGTATTTCGGGTGTATTTTGGGGTTATTTTGGGTGTATTTTGGCTGTAATTTGGGGTTATTTTGGGTGTAGTTTCGATGCAGTTTGGCTGTATTTTGGGTGTATTTTGGGGTTATTTTGGGTGTAATTTGGATGCAGTTTGGCTGTATTTTGGGGTATATCTTGGCTGTTTTTTGGGATATAGTCATGGGATAGTCGTAGTTTTTGGGATGTACAGCTGCGTTTTGGCTGTATTTTGGGGTATTTTTTGGCTGTGTTTTGGGTGTATTTTGGCTGTATTTTGGGGTTATTTTGGCTGTTTTTTGGGATATAGTTTGGCTGTATTTTGGCTGTATTTTGGGATATATTTTGGGATATATTTTGTGTGTATTTTAGGTGTAGTTTGGGATATATTTTGGCTGTATTTTGGCTGTATTTTGGGATATAGTTTGTCTATATTTTAGCTGTATTTTGGCTGTATTTTGGCCGTGTTTTGGCTGTATTTTGGGATATAGTTTGTGTGTATTTTAGGTGTATTTTGGGATATATTTTGGCTGAATTTTAGCAGTATTTTGGCTGTTTTTTGGGATATAGTTTGGCTGTGTTTTGGCTGTATTTTGGGATATATTTTGGGATATATTTTGTGTATATTTTGGGATATATTTTGTGTATATTTTGGCTGTACTTTGGCCGTGTTTTGGCTGTATTTTAGGTGTATTTTGGCTGTATTTTGGGATATATTTTTTGTGTATTTTGGCTGTATTTTGGGATATATTTTGGCTGTATTTCAGGTGTATTTTGGGGTTATTTTGGCTGTATTTTGGGTGTATTTTGGGATATATTTTGTGTGTATTTCAGGTGTATTTTGGGATATATTTTGTGTATATTT